GCAGCGAGGCGCGGGTTGGAGACTTTTGGACTCTGTCTATCCAAGTACCGTGCGGCGAGGACACACACACACACACACACACACACACACACACAAATGACCCATATTATCCATTCTATTGCCTCTCTCTCTCTCTCTCTCTCTCTCTCTCTCTCTCTCTCTCTCACACACACACACGCGCGCGCGCGCGCGCGCTGCGACCTTTTCGGATGTAAGAATACATGTGAGGGCGCGAGTACGTTCATGTGTGACTCTCTGTGCGCGATACGTGCTAACGTTTGAATGAGTGTGACCGCGAATACTAGTACTTGTCCACTGATGCCTGTCTAGCAACCCTCTCGCCACTTGAAAGAGGCGCGAACAATGGAGATTGTGCTCGAGGACACCCATTTTGCAAGCAGTCGAGAAGAACAAGGAGGCGGGGGTGGAAATCTCTACACCGCATCACCCTGGAGGGGAAGACGAAAGAGAAGGCACGTATAGCACTAAGAGGACGCAACATGGGAATTAAGGAAGGAGACACTTACATGCTTTCGCTTGCTTGAAGTTATTTGCCGCCTTCTCGAGAAGAGTGGCCGCTTCTTCCCATTTGTTGCTGAACCAACCGAATCCTTTCATCTTCTTAATCGCCTTCGCATAGAACTCATTTCCCTTCTGTTCCAGCTCTCCGCCCCCCAGTCTATCCATCTTTTCTCCCCCCTTTCCTTCCCTCCCCCCCCCTTTCACAACAAATATCCAACACACAGCAACACTCACGCACGAATCTCCTCAATCACTGAAACCGATCGATCTACCAATCGCTCGCTCGATCAAACAAGCACGTAAACTCAATCGATCAATCAATCACTTGATACCTACCTGTCAATCAATCAATCAATCAATCAACCAATCAATCAATCAATCAATCAATCAACCAATCAATCCATCAATCAATCAATCAATTGATACCTACCAATCAATGAATGAATGAGGGCATACTCACACGGGCACCTAACGACCTTAAATCCCAAATTTTGCTGCATTTTCCCGGTCGCATTCGAGAGGCCCGCTACCCAAATGCTTCAAAAATGGTGACCCTTCTGTCAGCGGCCTGCGGGCGCGCGGGAGGACCCTTTTTATATAATACCACCTCCACCTCCAGAGGTGGTCTGAAATGACCTTTCATTGCAAACAATCGTCGACGAAGAAAACAGCCTGCCAAACAAAAGGCCAAAAAGATGGCAATGTATCTATCGATGCTCTAGCCGTGGATTCACTCTCATTTTGCACATTTGGAGAGTAGTGCAGCCAGGCCCATGTACGTTGTAACCAAAAAAAAAAAAATCCATCTGGCGTAAATAATAAAATATAATAAAATAACATAAATCCATCTACTCCTTTGGTCCTCACACGTGTGACTATGTACACTTGCCCCGAGGGGGGAGTGGCAGAGCCGCGCCTTCGCCCCTTTCTAAATGAAGCCCGCCCGTGTGGCCACACGAGGACCTGAAGTCCCAAATAGGCCTTACCCAAAGGGCTCAAAAAAAAAAAAAAAAAAAAAAAAGAGACTTTCGGTCCTCGTTTGTTGAGTATGGGCATCACACACTCTCGAAATGTGCAAATGAGAATGAACTTCCTGCTACAACATAGCCAGATGCACCCGCCACATTTTTGTCTTTTCCACATTTCGAGAGTGGTGTGGCGAGGTCCTCAATAAAGCACAACCTGGCTGCGCACCCGTGAGGGTAAGGGCCTCGCCACACCACCGTCGAAATGAAAAACGAATGAACGCATCATGAGGTCCAGATGCATCCGTTACTATGAACAGCAATGCATGCAATCTTACTACTTTCTGGGGCAGATGCATTACTTCTGTTTTCGTTTCGACAGTGGAGTGGCGAGGCCCTAAGTCAATAAAGCAGAACCTTTTCCCTGCTGGAGCCGAACTTCCAAACGGACTCAGAAATAGCGCCTTGGGTATACAGTATCCAGTCCATGTACGTGGTTACAGTATCCCGTCCATGTACCTGGTACTCCTGCTGGGAAATCTGCAAAAATGGCCACAAAATTTTGGTGCGCTGTTATTTACTCGCGTATCTATGGGATTTGCTTGTGCATCAGCGAGCCTACGAGCGCTCAGCACGTGGTTTGCTACGGCCCTGTTATTAGTTGACACGCGGGCTCAGGAACGTGCTTCAGCGTTTTCAAGACCATTTTTCGCTGTCTTGTGGCTCGAGGCGAGACCCCTCGTACCCGGACCCTTTGTTCCGCACGTTCATCTTGTAATCTACGGCCAGGATTGAAGAATCCAGGTAAGTGGGTCCTAGCCCCAGCCTTTCTGCCAGAGCAAGAACCAGAAACAAGGCGGGAAGAGAAAAAAGAAAAAACAAGAGTGATTGTGATACCGTCACTTGCTCTCTGTTTGCAAAGGGGAAACCAATCAGAACACTCAAGTTGGATCCCAAAGCCTGGGAGTGGAGAGGAAAAGGCAAAAAAGGGAAGAACATATGTTTGCTGGATTACGCACAGCAGATCGGGTATAACATAATTCCAGTCAAAGATCCTTTGATAGGATCAAGAACCAGATGGTTGACTTTGCTGCCTGAATTAGACCCAGTATCTCTCACGAAGATGATAAAATATTGTTGGGCCCAGATGAAAGTGGTAGGTAGGTAGTGTGAGGTGAAATTGAGAGAAGAACATAGCTTTATATAAAAGAAGAAAAAGAAAAGTCATACCCAATCAAAGATTTGCTGCAATGTTGTGGCTTATTTCATTGGCTGCCACCCCGACTGCAATCCGGTTGATACAACATGGGCTAAAGATTGATACAAAGTGCATTAGATGGGAATGGGCTTTGGAGTCTATTACCCATATGTGGTGGGACTGCACTCCATCAACCAGAATCTGGAAATGGTAGACAGGACACTGGAACAAAACTGCAGGTAACTCTCTGCTGTGGGATAGGACGTGGTGTCTAATTGGCGGTATACGGGATGGTCTCAAGCTCCCAGAAGGCTGGGCTTACATTGCACAGACTACGAGAGCAGTTGTCTGGCATGGTCGCAATGATGCAGTTTTCAATAACAAAGCTTGGACGAACAAATAGATTCGTTGTGAAATTTCCCAAGTTCTCAGACGATCCGTTCAAGCAGACTGGAGAAGAAAGGTTCTCAAATCAGAGAACCCGACAGCAGGCAGAAAATGGTTGTCGAAGACATGGTGTCTGTCCCGCTCGCTGGCACAGATCAGTGAGGATGGCACAAACGGCTGTTCAGCCCCTAGCCAGCCAGTAGTAGACACCTTCTCGCTCAGCTATGGTCCCATTCACAGTAGGAGCTTGAGTAATTCCCAATCTATTCCCTGGCCAAGGATCGCCACCTAATCAATCAGATCAAGTCCATGCAAAACAAAATACACTAAAATCGAATCGAATAAAATCAACTTCATTGAATCCCATTAGTTTCGTCAGTCGATCAGCCGACTATGCTCAACCAAACACCCAATGGCCGAGATTCCCGCAGTCACATCATCCAATCCAACACGGCTGTCGACCATCACCAACACCTTTTTTTTTATAAAAAAAAAAAAAAAAAAAAGGGACCCTGAGTTAATGCTAGGGTAGCTGATAAGAGCAGACTCCCCTAGCATTCTCTGGGCAGCTCCATCTATTGGTGGGGAGCGGCGCCTGCTGGAAATCGGGTCCAGCGTCCCTCACATTTGGCAATTGGAATACATGTGAAAACTGTACAACCCATAGTCTCTGCACTAGCTCTGACCTTTGAGTTCTGTTGTAAAGGACCTCTTCACCCTCCCATAAGGCGCCTGATGTATCAGTCCTACCTAGACCTTACAACAGTAAGGAGGGGTTGATGGGAAGACTGTCTATACCTCCCCCTCCTGTCCATCTGTAACTGAATCTCCTCCATACCATGATAATGGCACCAGTGCATTCTGAGGAAGCGTGAAAAGGCTAGGGAACTCGTTGGCCGGACGAAGGGTTATCGATGGACACCAGTCTAGCCTCTTTCAGGATTCTTTCACATACAAGGACTACCTTTCCTTCTTCCTATCCTTCATTCCTTTTTCCACCCTGTGACGCCCAACCTCACGCCCGGAGCGACTTCCTGATTGAAGTGTGAGTGGGCCTGGAAGTGCGAAAAGGGGTGTGCCAAGGATTTTAGGAAAGTGGGGGTGGAGTCCCAGGTGGGAACTGAGATCTCCTGTGGCAAGCTCCGGGATACGAATACAGGAGGGTAGGCATAGACTGGAGTCCTGATTTGTGCTTTGGTAAACAGAGCTACCGCCTCCGTTGGTTCCGTCGTCCGGGTCGGGGTCGTATCTGGTGCACCGTCGGGGCGCTATGGCTATCTCGCTGGCTCGTCACCTGCCAACGTCGAGCGTCGTAAGTCTTTGAATCTGACGCGGCCGGCCTCAATCGAAGGCTGTGTGCTCGTCGTTCTTCCTCCTAGCGAGTTCGCCGGATGAAGTCGGAGGCTCAGTACTCGTGGTCCTGCAGACACTCCGAGCACGGGGGTTAGGGCCAGTAAGGTCCGATTGCGAGCCAGAGGACGATGGTTAGGGAGTGATAGGGTAGGATGTGGTGATAGGGAGGGAATTCGGTCCCCAAGATAATGATCCCGGGCTCCGTGACGACGTGACACGTGTATGGGCTAGAGTAGCTGGGGAGATGGGGGATATGTCCCAAGGCCTGGTCGAGGTCCCACTCGCAAAATACATTCGTTCCCCGTCAAGTAGGGAAATTCCGGAGGCTCCGCCTGTGTTATGCAGATAAACAAGAGTGCTCCCAATATCCCCGGAATTCCCGATCCCTCAAGCACTCGCAGTCAGTGATATGAAAGGGAACGTCGAAATTCTGCAAGTCGGGGTGGAAAACCAGCCATTCAGGGAATTGGTCGAGTTCAGGTTTCGCAGACGTGCGTGTAGGCAACAATCGTCTTTGGTCGAGCCTACACGTGTGTGCATGGGACCTGTCTGTCGATCAGATGGGTGAAAGCCAGCGGTTCGTGAGATGGATCGTCCTATAGTGAGATGGTCATCTAATCGTCTAGCATGCTCATCTAATTCATACATAGACAGAATCACACCTAACATCCATGCATCTAGCTTGCATACAAACCAAAGGAATCGAGGATCCTTATGCAACAATTCTTTGGCCAATCAGCTCAGAGATCACACAAGGTTCGATCGTCGGTAATCAATCAATCAGATTTGTCGATTCAAAAAGACAGAGAAGGGGAGTGGGGGAAGACAATCCACACATCAGTCTCCAAGGAAAGAAAACAAGGAAAAAATATGAGATGTCGATCCAAAAAGGACAAGGGCGACTAGCGCCGAATACCAAAATTGCTCAGAAGGATGGAAGAGAAACATCACTACAACACATCACGTCTCTCTCTCTCTCTCTCTCTCTCTCTCTCTCTCTCTCTCTCTCTCTCTCTCTCTCTCTCTCTCTCTCTCTCTCTCTCTCTCTCTCTCT